GCCCCTCAAGAACTTGTACAGCGAACTCGATCACGTATTCCCAATCTAAACAAACTTGTAGAGAGAATCAAATATATTGAATTACCTGCATGAAATGTATTTGGCGCTTTTGTTTAGTGTTTTGTCGGATGATGAGCAACCATCAACATCTACAGTGGTCGCAGAACCAGTCGAGGAAAAGGTTGTCCCACCTTCCGAGGAAGTTATTCCGGATGGAGAAGCCATCGAATCTGAAAAAAGGTCAGCATTGAATGGCATCTTAATATGCTTGAATTATATACAGTTGATATCGTGGCAATCACTCGGGGGGGGGGGGGGGTAAGAAGGATGTAATGAGCTCACCAAAGGCGTTTCTCTCACTGCTTCTTTTCTTCCTTATCATTAACCGTTCGCTATAGCTTGGAAGGGGGGGGGGTCAGGCGAGCTCATCCCCCCCCCCCTTTGACACGTGACGTACCGATTGCGACGTCAGCAGCTAGGCCTCGAATTTCAAAAACTGATTATCTCGAGTATGTGGTCATGGTCCTCTATCTCTTCTGTGTAGTATTTTGCAAATGCTGGTAAAAATTGACTAGGAAAGGGCCGATCACGCAGAAGCCTATTATCCGTCACAGCTGTATTGACTCCAAAACAATATGTTATTCCATGAAGGAACGTTACCCAAGTTTAGGCCCTTTTTTCAAATTTTCTAGCGTTCCTTCCAGCACACCCATTGTGGAAGCGTCATCGTTGCCAGCACAAGTGGCCGTCTTCGATCCTGTTTGTTACCCATCAATTCCTCAACTTTCCGAGAGCACTATGAACACTACATATACCGCAACAGTTGCTCCTCCTCCTCTTTATGAAGAGCTCTCGAAAGGCTTCATGGAAAAGGTAGTGGCTTTTTGTATGCCGCATTGAGAAGCCATTTTGCTTTCGATTTGAATGTCTTTTAGAACCCAGCCATAGCTGGACCACAAATTGCCGATGCGCCTCCATTATATCCGTCCTTGACGAAAGTTCACTATGAAAAAGATAGTCACGGGCTGCTTACAGAGCAAAATTTGCTGGCATTCTATCACAATCCACTCTACATGATGAGCGAGGAGTTTACTGATAAGTTTGTTCAGGTACGTATCTCCTTTGTTTATTCCGCATTCTCTGTTGATCCAATCACTTCCTCCTACAGGGTTCTTGTGGGAGTATAATTCTCCAAATACGCAGTGCGATCCATCTCTCATAGATGGGGATGGTGTGTCCTTGTATTCAGTGGTGAGCGCGACAGCGGCTGTCTTGTGGAGGTTTGCCTGTCCAGGCAGGGACGGGGGAGGGTAAGATGTGTGTGAGGCTTTCTGTCGTACCGTCTGGGATCTCTCATGCACATGCTGCCTATGTCCCGGATTGAATCTTTTGCTGTCAGTCCAATTTGAATTCGGTCAATTCAGCTGCGTCAGTTTACCGTTTCTCTGTGAGGTGTATCATCTACTTGGCATTCTGTGAACACTGTGACCTCCCACGTTCAATGTTTCAGGCATGATAAGTAACTCACCCGCTCACCGTCATCCCCGAAGTCTTCTTCCTTGGGAAGTACCCATTCCTAACCCCTTAGGCCTTTATGCTCCGGCAGCCGGTTTGCGCTATTTTGTACAGTGTTCCGCAGAGGAACCTCCATAAAAGCTCGAGTAGTCGTGTAACCCTGTCGGCTTGGTCGTCGTGTATTCCTGCTGTTCTCATAGCTGACATTTGAACACGCCTCTTCTTTACCCGGATAATGGAGACTCTCTAATTCTATCTGACTGATAATGCTGGTCATCCTGACAAATCTGTGCAATTTTCAGAAAATACCCCTCCTCGAGAGTAAAGAATCTTAATTGATAGTTTCTCAGCACTAGTAGAAAGCTGTGCACATTTCAGAACAATCTCATATCCTCCGGCCCACTTTTTCCTCTTCTCAAGCGGCTGAAAAAACTTTGTGAGCAGATGTCAATAAGTGAAGTCAGCGAAAAAGAGAATACTGAGAGCCTTTCGAAATGCCTGCGTGATTGCTGGGTTATGCAGCAGCAAACTGTTGATGCCAAGGTGTGTTTTAAACTTGTGTTCACCGTGATATTATCCTCTGTCACCTTTTCAATAAACGCAAATCTGCTAACATTTTGTAGGGAAAATGTGGCGAGAACAAAGAAGCTTCTGGAACGGGTCGTTTCCATAAATCCGTCTTGGTTATGGAGAAAGTAGACGAGTTGAAGCGTTTGCTTGCTGCCAATCGAACTCACCTTTTGGATGAGCGTATCTGCCAGGAATCGCAGTTTCGAGCGACGGCTCTTCAAGTGGGTAGGCTAAACGCATTGTGGACTATCGTACTGCGGGTTTCTTCGCATAATTCACCACTTTTTATGACACGGACAATCCATTATCTCGTCCTCCTCTTCAATTTCTTTGGAAAATAAGTCTTTCTTGTCCGAAAACGTGTTTTGGCAACCGTAATAGAAAAAAATAGCCAAAAAATACTGAAACGCTCCTGATAGAAAAGTGTGACTGCGCATGTATGTCACGCGAGGTAGATCGTGTAAAGTGGTGAAGGGATGACAAAATAGGTCTCTCTTTTAGGTTCAATGGGTTGTGATCTCTATCAACCAGCAATTCATGGAAGAAAATGGCTTATCCCTCCAGAGTCCACCCACATGTTAGTTTACCTTCCTTACTCTTTTTTCCTTCTCTACATGTGATGGCAAACATTGCAGTATTGGAAAACGCTGCCATTTCTAATGGAAGGGTTCTATTGCTGAACGCATTGTCCGACATCTTTTTCCACCTGCGGTTCCCATCGTTAGCCAAGCGCTTTACTGACGCTCTGACAGGATGGGCAAAAGAATTAGTGAGCTGCTTTTTTCCTTTTTTTTTCTTCTTTTCGTCATCATTCACACAAGCATCTGTTTTAGATATGCGTCTTATATATGTTGTGCCGATGTGAAGATGCACAGTTTGTTTTAAATCATCTTCTTCGTCTCCCTTCTCCGATTATAGAATGGGCGGCTCCCTTTGTACAAACATTTATTCAGGTAAGAATTTTCGAAAACTTGATAGAACTTCATTGTTTCCAAAATCTATGAGGCTGCTGTCAGACTTCGAGATGACGCGCGACGACGTGCTACGAGTGCAGCAATGCTCCAGCCCTATAGACTGCCACAGAAGGGTATCGATTGGAGCTGTATCTCTCTTCCCTATACTCTCTCAAAGCTGTCGCGGCCGGCGCCGATCGTTACCAGACTGCATGATTAGGCAGCGCGAAACTTCCCTGTTCCCTCAAACTCTCT